ACGATATGAAGATACAATGACTGCAACGTCAACCGAGAACGAAAAACCGAAAATAAAATTGTATCATCGGGACCGGAGACTGCGCGAACAACCTCGTAGAAACAAGTTGTATAAATTAGTCACAAGTAATGTCAATTTCTTTTCAGCATAGCAAATGCTTATGTACTTTTTGAAAATATAAGAGATAAAGTGTAATGAAATCCTTTTGTTTTTATCAACTTTGTCATTTGAAAGTTAGACAAGTATTTCAAATGCTAGTGCCGTAATGAACATGAGACGTCCTCTTCAAGAGCACCGTAAACATAAGAGGGCCCTCTCTTATTAAAACCCTCACGTTAAAGGGTTGGTTTCGGATGAATTCATGCCCGGAATCAAAATGTCTTCGGAAAAAAATACACCCGAAGCTGTATACGAAAGGACGCAAAAAGTAAACTTGCAAAAATACTTACAAAAGCCCTCACGAAAAAGGATTGATACTCAGAGCCAAAATGCTTTCGGGGAAAATACACCCCAAGCTTTACATAATAAGACGCAAACAGAAAAACTTGTGCAAAACTCTTAAGCAAAAGGAAGAAAATGTAAAGGTTAAAGACTTGTATAAATATTCAAACGAAAGAAAGACTCAAACAAATACTTGAGCAAAAAGATGTTTCTATCTACAATAACATGCCAAAACGGCATAGATACAAGAATTGGAAAAAGAAAAGAAAAGCTAAATTGCAATATCTCCGGAATCCGGAGGAAGAGAACTGCCCGCGTCCCCGGGAGCAGTAGATGGATCCACCAATGGCTCAACATTTTGATCTTTACCAGTTTGGCCTTCAGCATTATCATCCTCCGATTCTTCTTCAGTTCCCGAAAACTCGGAACTGGAACTAGAAGGACCAGGAGCATCAGACCTCACTGGGAGACCACTTTTAGCAGCTAACTCAAGCTCATGTGCCTTAGCAATTTTGGCATCAAAATCAATGATACCAGCTTTGGCCTCTTCCAAGATTTTTCTCTTCATGTTGTACATAGCGTAAGTTTTCTCAACAACGAGGGAAGCCGCTCGGTGCTTGAGTTGTTCTTTGAGTTGGGTGACCTCGGCAGAAAGGTTTTCTCGGGCGCATCTAACGGACATGAGGCTAACATTGAGCTCGCGGGCAGTAGAATTGAAAATCTTATTATGCTCAATGGTCCTCCTGTGCTTCTCCTCCAGTTGGGCATATTTCACCCCAGCAGCAGCAAGCTCTTCAGTCTTGGAATGCAAGGCTGCCTTTAAGTTGTTCAATCTTTCAGCAGAGACAACCTCACGATCGGATACAACAAGTATGGCATTATGGACTTCAGCCCATTTGGCACTAGCCTCTTCAAATTGGACCCTCAACGAGGCGATCTCTTGGCTAAGGGTCTCCACTTCATGCTCACTTTGCTGTTTCAAATTCTGAGAGGCGAATAATAGCTTGGTCCCGTTCAACCAAAAGTTGATCCCGCTTAGAGGTAAGTTCCTCCTTTTCCCTAATCAACCTTTGAAGGCCCTCGGAAGCAAGAAAGTTGGCCTACAAAGTGAGAAAAACAAACTCAGGATGTATTTATGCAAAAATAGTAGAAACAACAAAAGAAGTAAAGAGTATACCGCTACAACGTTGTGCATGGCGTTGTTCAACAAGCACTCTCCCGAGAGAGCATGAACCTTTTCCAAATCATTCTCTGAAGACAAAGGCTTCAAGTAATTAGCAAGCTCCATCGACTGGGATAGCAGTTACATCCAATGGAGACCGAAAGAGTAACATTCTTTCTCACTTGCGGATTTCCGAAAGGGGCATCGTAATTTTCCCCAGATTCTCATGAACTGGGGACTGGGGAAGATGAACACTTCCTTCATGATTAAGTGTGGCTGGTGGAGGTGATGTGGCAGCTGCTGGTGGAAGAATAGATGCAGATGAAAATGATGTAGCGGTTGTTAGTGTTGGCGAAGGTGGAGACGAAGCTGATGGGGTTGAAGAGTGAGAAGCAACTGCATCAAATATAGTGTTGGTTGTTGGATGCTCGCCAACCAAAGACGGCAGGGACCCGGTACTCAGCCCCGATGCAACGGGCACATTAATTGGGGCCAAAGACGGGAGTTGTCATTATCTACCAAATCGAACTCTCCCCAAAGTGCTGAAACATCGTCCTCGGTTGGTGTAACTATCTCAACAGGTCGAGCATCCTGTTGAGATGATGAGGATCGTCGTCTTCTATGTAGAGAAGCTCCCTCCTCACTAGCTTCTTCATCATTATCGATCATCACGGTGTCTACGACTGGCCCGGAAGGAGGGCCAGTCATCATCACTACAGGAGATGACTCGGGGGCAATGGTCTTCGCCCTCTTATTATTTTTCCTGGCCGCGGAGGAGCGTCTCTTTTTTGGTTGTTTGTTTTCCGGATGGGGACTTCGTAATGATACACTTGTACCCGAAGCAGGCCTTGAGATACCTGTTCGAGTAAGCGCTTCTTGAAGCAGCCTCGCCGCATCAGCGGGATCGGCCAAGATGTCCTCCTCGGGAACATCAATAGAGCCCGCGGGTAGACCTGATTTCATAGACAAGGTAGAAGGGATCAATCAAGTTCTTCACATGAAAAATTGAACACACGGAGAGTTTGAATTGCCATGATTTTTGGCCTTCCGCCCGTATTTAGGGGCCAGTCCTTCAACCACCGGTGGGATCCATCGGGTTGCTGAAGCAGACGAATGATAGAGGATCAATACTGGTATAGAAGAATATTTAATAAAAGAAATATTAAACAAAGAGTTTACGAGTCCGGTTCCAAGTAGCCAAAAAGGATACAGCCGTTGACGGAATGATATCGTTAGTGGCAACTGCAACGAACCGTTCTATCCATCCACAGTCGTTGTTGTCATCCATACTAGATAACAGAGCATGGTGGCCACGCTTGTAGAGGTTTATCATTCCTCCGCAAAAGATCTTGGGAGAATAGAGATTCATCATATGAGCTAAGGTTAGCTCTTCTCCCGTCTCCTGGCACAAACGCCAAAGGCAAGCAACCGTCCTCCACAAATAAGGACTTACTTGTGCCAAACACACCTGGTAGCGAAGGCAAAACTCTGCAATAACGGAGTCAAGCTCTCCGCTCAAAGAGAACGTACCCAAAGTAAAGGGATACATATAAAAATATGTAAAAAAAACCCTTGGGTAGGGTCACTCGCTCCGATAGATCAGGAGCAACAATATCCAAATCGTGACAACGGCAATCTTCCTTTACAACAAGAATGCTAGAAGGACGGATGGAAGAAGGATACCCACTGACGGCCCATGTACGAGAATTAATAGTAGAAAATTTTTCTTCGAAGTCTTTTGTGGTAACAAGACTTCTAGGGATGATGGAGCCCACTGTTGGAGGAGCAGAATCCTCGTCCTTGTTCTTGTTCTTTGAAAAACGGGTACGCTTTGAGGAAAAAGCCATTGTATGGAAGAAGGAAAAGATTTTTGCTTGAAGAGGATTAGATGAAGAGCAGGATGCAAGTCGAATAAGGGAAGCTTGTAAAATTATGGAAGTATAGGAGAGAAGGTTGATGAGTATAAGTAAAAGTTTTGGCGGTTAAATTTATGGCCATGATTACCTCGATAAACGGCAAAAGTTGTGCTGAATCATGGGATGACGCGTGTTCGGGACATTAAATGCGGAGAGACGTGCGTCTAATCAACCGTCAGAAGCCTTCAGAGGGAGTTATAGTAATTCGCGCCAAAAGAGTGTTTCTACCAACTTCTCGATAATACAAAGTTGTGTCACCGGAAAGCAGGGGGACTATCTGTATAGGGTAAAATATGCTTTGACATGTGGCCACCCAAAAGAGGGTCACGTGGAACCCAAGACGGAGGTATGGCTAAGACCGAAGGCAATTGTTCCGTTTGTCAGCGGAAAGAATAACGTTCATAAAGATGTGATAAATACTCTTCGCCCGGTAGCATTTAATAGAGAATATTCTGTGGCATTAAGAATGATTACCCATTACAGGGAATTTGGCATTTTTGTTCACCGTTACATCTTCATCAATGACCCTCATAATTGACATTAAAGAGGGGCACGATCCTAGGACCTCATACCCTAGACGTAACTATAAATAGTAAGCTCGGTTATCATTGTAAGCGACACGAATTTTCTGTTACATTCTATTCAAAGTTTAATACAATCTTATCCTCTTGCTTTTCGATTTTATCACTGTTGTGCCCGAAAATCCTGTTCCCAGAACTGTTGTTTCTGTTATTTCGTCTCCATCTCAAAGCTAAGTATTGCATAATTTTTTAATTATTTTATTATTTCAGGATCAAATTAATTCATGTTGTTGGGTAGAATCCCGCGTCTGTTTGCACCAGTTATAAAATGATTCTTTCACAGTTTCCTAAATAAATCTTGATTCTACTCTTCCTTTCTCCTACCTTTGCCCTCCGTACGACCGTACCCCTAAAAATTATGGGATTTAAACTAAACAAATACTCCATATATTTCATTGAATCTAACCCTACTCCTATAAGTTTATTGAATCTAAACTAAACAGATACTCCATATATTTCATTGAATCCATGATATATTTTTCGATTAAGCAATGGAAACTGTTTCGTCGTAAATTATCTTTTTATTTCTATTTAAGAATATCAGTGACAGAGTTTAAAATGACTTGCTTTATATGAACAAGATAGATTTATGTAAAACGCCAACAATCTAGACTTTACTAGTCATAATATTCTCCTAAGTTATGAAAGGATGAGGAGTTCCATTATGCTTTTGTCTAGATATGTTTAACATGGCCGGCTATTTGTGTAAAAATTCATTATGCTTGTTTGTCTAGATATGTTTAATATGGCCGGCTATTTGTGTAAAAATCCCTTAATTATTTGCGTATTAAGATAATTTTTGGATATAGACTGTCTTTTATATCAGTACTCACCACAAAATTCACCAAATTATCATATTATATTATATTAAATTACATAAATTTGAGTCCGAAAATGATGTGCACCCAAATAATCAACTCCATTAGCAAACCATCATAAATATACATATCAATTAAACGTCGATTCAAGTTACAAGGTGTCACAATTCACAAACTTACAACCGCCAAAATTAACCAGTTTCCTTGCATTAGCACAAACTAATTTCTTAGAAGTAGAAAGACAAGTCACCCAGTGTTAGTGAAAAACTAGAGGAGTCAATCAAATCCAAAGCTGTTGAGTCACTGATACATGTGCATGTCATTAACCAAATAGTGCTTACACTTTCAGCAATCATTTTCTTCCTTCAATGTAAATTCAACCGACTCAAACTCCCATCGAAAAGGAGAGGGTGGTGAATCCCTCTTCTTTGGAGAAGATGGAGGAGACTTCCATGAGGATCTCAACCAAGAGAACGACATAGGCAATTCTTCTGGCACAGGGTAACAGCGTGGGCTATCCATTCCTTGATCACTCTGCGGAAGCAAAAAAAAGTAGTCTGAGATCACTACAACACATTCAGATTTTACCTTCCAGACCACACTTATGCATGTGAAAATGTAGAAGAATGAAGGACTAGACTCACCATTCCCATATCCATTTTTGGTATTTCAATAGGAGTAGCTGAATCTGCAGGAAAATTGTGCGTTAGGTTCTCCTGAAGTATCTAATTGGATACATAGCATGAAATGTACTGTTTAACCGTTTTAATTCGTGAGCGAGAAGCAACCAGAGCAAAGATGCATAAACAAGAATAGTGGCCGCCACAACCACAGTGCACCAATGCAATACTAGCTTTCTGCATTCAAGCACTAATTTTTCTCCAAATAATGGAGCAATCAAACACAAACCAAAAGACAATCTGAAGAATCAAAACTTCAAGCCAGGTAATATCGATAACAATTTGTAGCTAGAGAACTATACCAATGATTAGGGCTATGTTACTAGTTCATTTTAACCTGGGGAAAAAAAACTGATCGTATTGATAACTTTGGTTTTATGTTTTTTTTTTCTGGTGTTGGCTTTCATTCTCAAAGTTCAGTTGTTTGTTTTAAGTTGTGGAAAGAAAAAAACAAAATACTGAAGAAAGAAACTTCTTATCTATTTGTTTATTATCATGTTGTCCAAAAACCTTTTAAGAATTTAATGTTTAAATATCGTAAGATCATTTTTGATTGGCAAGAACACGGCAATTAATTTATACAAGTTTAAGACAAAAATGTTGTATTCAAGAAATCAATTAGAAACTCAATAAAGAGATTGGAAAGGGAAAAAAATTGAGCCGCACTGAATCTATTTCAGTAGGTGATTGGTTTGTTAAAAGACTGAAAAACCCAATCAAGCGAACCAACTTATCACAAAACTGACTTTATACACATCCCACAAGAAAGAAGAAATTACCACATCCAGGCAGAACTAATTCCAAGAAATGTTTTGGTGTCATCACTGATCTTTGTGCCTCAATGCATTTTTTGTGATCATGAAGAAATGTCTCCTCTGCAATGTTAACCTCACTTGGAACTTTAAGCTCCTTCTGTGAATTCTTTTTCTTTGTTGCTTCTTCAGGAGGGGCAGTTGACTTGTTTGTGATGTCATTGAGGGCATTACGACTTTTAAGCCCTATAATACCTTTCTTAATAGCTTCTGGTTTACCGCTCTTTGATTTGCCTGATATCACACCCTCTACAAAAAAAAATGAAATTACATGTAAGCATAGCTGCAATAATTTAACGAATTTTCCAGATAAACAGGTAAATTCCTGGCATAAGTATCTTGGACAAGGCAAATATGGATAAACCAAATCATACTTTTGAGGTATATGTCCGAGTTTTCATCTTGAAAGATTAGCGGCCTCTGAATGAGATTTTTTGCCATGATTATAGCTCTCAATCAAATGATGCCTGCAGCATTACAGTGTTACGAATCATAAATAAGGTACACAAGACAGTGAAATCGACGAGTTATGATGAGTCAATGCTTCAAAGATTTTACTCAAAACAAGCTCAAACAGTGCAAACTAAACTACCACAAGAAGAAGCAATAAACCTAGTCTCCATCGACTCTACAATCTTAGTTTTGTCCTCTCCTAATGTCTTACTTCTGACATCCAAAACTATCTGTTTAGGCAATGCTAAAACAAGGCATGAAACGCAATGCTAAAAAAATTAAGAAAAAAATAAAAAGGCATTTCTTTCAAAGTTCTCTCTGTGTGGAATCATGATATAATCTAACAATCTAATAATTAATAATCACGGTAGACAAGATATCTTTGAATGGTAAGAAAGCAGAAATATTCGGTAAATAAATTAAAAAGTAGTAACATTTGCATTCGAAGGGCTATTAACTTGCAATATGAAAAATCCATTTTGAAAGCCTGAATATCTTTTTCCCTTATTTCCATAATATCATTTCTCAGATATCTGATTATGATTATTCAAAAGGAAAATCAGTACACCCAACAACTTCACACCCATTATCACATGGAAAACAAGTAAGAACTGCATATTTCATCTGTCCCGACATATGTGACGTCCCAATTTGCTTAGACACGACTAGATTAAAGAAATTTATTCCCTATTTTAAGACATCAGAATATTGAATTAAGTATTAAATTGTGAATGCAGCATTTGGGCCAGTTCACAATACAAAGCAACACAGTTGATTTGGTAAAAGGAGTAGATTTTACTAATAGAAAAACGCATTTCAATTATAATGAGAGAGGGGATGAAATCTCGAGGAAACTTACAACTCGATTTCGCCGGAGAAGAGAATGCCGAGAAGTTTGCGCCTGAGAGTGGTGTCAAATTAGGGCAAAAGCGGGAGATGAATACAGTTCAAATTTGGGGAAGTTGCGGGGTAAAATGAACCCGACCTTTAATTGTAAATTGCAGCCCAAATGAATTCTTTGATTCCCACTTATAGCCTTTTGGGCTTCATTTCCAAAATTAGAATTGGGCCAAAACAAACGATAAAGGGTATCTTACATAGATGAGAACTTTACGTAACTGTCACTGTTTAAAAGAAATATAACAAATTCTTAGCATGAAACTCAATATTACAGTTGTGGTAGGAAAATATTTATATTTGTAGCACACAGTTCTATTAAAATAGAAATATTAATTATTAATCCGTAAACATAAGTAATTTGAATGGAAAGTCAATAATTCTTTTTACAAAAATCATGCATTTTTTCTCTTTATCTATTAGCTTTCCTTCTTTTTCTTCATCTTCTTAATTTTGTTTTCTGTCGAAGCCAATATATTTTCTAAATTTTTTTCATTTATTTTATTTTTAATTATCTTTCTTAAGTTTTTCTCTTCCTTCTTTCTTCCTTTTTCAACATAAAGATCTTACTTCGATAATAATATATGTTAATATATACAAAACGTATATATAAAAAAATATACATTAAATTAACACATATAAAATATATAAAAAATATACATAAAAAATATATCTTCAATTAAGATGACACTTAGACATGTGAAATATACATAAAAATATATATCTTAAATTTAATTAAGATGGCATATAAATATACAAAAAAAAATATACATAAAAAATACATCCTGAATTAAAATAACACTTGACATATAAAATATATTTAAAATATACATTACAAATAAAATATAAAATATATTTAAAATATACTTGACATATAAAATATATTTAAAATATACATTACAAATACATCTTAAAATAAGATGGCACTTCACAAATAAATATACAAAAATTATATACATAAAAATACATTTTGAATTAAAGTGATACTTGATATACAAAGTATAAAAGACGTATAAATCAATACATCTTGAATTTAGGTGGCATTCACATATGCATCAGATTTTGAAAAATGGAGTGAAGAAGATGAATGTTGGAAAGGGAGAATGGAGGTGGACAAAAAAAGTACTTCTTGTGATTAGTGAGTCAGTTAACTTATTAAATATTGAGCTTAATTTTTATAATACGCTAATAATGAAAAAAATGCTCTTTATGGAATAAACAATAAATGAAGCTATTTTTTTTAAAATAATAGTTAAAAAGGATCAAGCGTGTAAAAAACTCTACATACATAAATGTCCCAAATAAGTTTCAACTTGTCAACCTCTAGCCACTAATCATACACTTACCAAAACTAGCCAAGCACATGTAAAAATTGAAAACCCAAATAAATATGGTTCTTTCTCTCCAAGAATCACATAAAGATCTCCTTCCATATTTTCAAGTGTGATCAGCAACATCAGATGCAAGACGGAAAGAAAATTTTATGGATGAGGTAGCAAACAAGGTAATGAAATACAAAAAATATATATACAAGATTCTAAAAATCTAAGCAAAAAGGACATTTTTCAGCGAGTATGGTTGAAATTCATTAAAAACATGTAGATGAGTCAATATACAAATTTTGAGGAAGATTGGAGGTGATTTGGACTGATTTGGTATCAAAATTCTTAGTTAAAATCGAGTTTAAAAAATTCTTCTGCGACGCATGTATCACACACAGAGGTATACATGGAGATACATGTGATACACATTTGATACAAATATGATACATATGTGATACACAAATGATACATAGTGTGATACACAAATCATTTTTTTTCATGTTTCATCTTCTACTTCGAATTTTCAATTCAAACCACCTCAAAACTCCGCAAAATAATCCCAAAACTAAGATTCAAACACCTTAAGATATACTCAATCTATTCTAATAACACTCGTTCAAAAGAAAGCAAAAAGTTAACCTTGTTTTAACTACAAATAGCTAATTGGTTAATATTGGTAACATTTGGCTAATATTAGTAATATTTAATGAATTTGTCAATTTTCGTAATAAGCTACTTATAAATAAACATAGTTGGTAGTTTTCCAGCGATGAATAGGTTAGAGTCACATTATTGTGTTATATTATTTCGTATTAATTGTTTGGTTTGGTGTATCAAAAATAACATGCATTGTATAATTTGTAAAAGGAAAATTATTTGCTTTCTTTCTAAAAACCCTCCACATTCTTTGAAAAGGATTTGGAAAAGATTTTGAAAGGCACATTCTATCTTTATACATGTTTATTCATGTATTAAAAATTATGGTATTACTAATGTCATGATTTGCTATATTTAAGAATAATATTAAATAAGGTGTATAACTAATAAATAAATAAATACATATATTAATTATATATAAATTAAAAAATACTATCAGATAAAAAATTAATAATACTAAAACTAATATATATATATTATTTTTTCTAATACATTCTACCAAACAAAGTCCTACAACTTCCCGTTCATCTTTGAATTATATTCCTTCATAAAAGTCCAACTCAGTTAGCGTCATGTTTTAGGCTTACAACGGGATGATTTGACAGAATAAGGGTAGTGAAGGAAATTTTTTTCTCTTTAATTTGTAGAAATATAAAATTTATCAATTGATTTTGTAATGTTCAATATTTAAGTGGAAAGGACAAAAGTCAATTCTACCTCTTTTTTTTTTTCTTTTTTCTTTTCGTTGTTGAGGAAAAGGACGAAAGGCAGTACAGGATCACATGACTTGATGAGAAGGGAACCGAGAAAAACGTATCAAACATTTACAGAAAATGAGATGTGGATAAGATGTACTGTATGTCGTACTCTTTGCATTGTTACTTCGTGTTAGTAGACCGAACGTGAATTCAAGATTTAAATTTTATAAATTTAATTTTTAAATTTTTTAATATTAAACTCGTTATATTTTTAAGTTATAAGTTCTCTTACAATTTCAATAAATTCTTATATATAAATTTTTTCCTTATATCAAAATTTATGGATTTAATTGAACTTATAAGTTCAAACACTACATTCGCCTTGGTTCGTACTGACCCTTTGTGGCTGCAAAAACAACAAATGGATTTCAGAAGACAATATTAGGAAGAATACAGACCTCCTAAATTAGTCCCTCATTTCCACAAAATAGCATGTTTGGCTAGGGGTGTTCATCGGTCGGTACGGTATTTAGATATTTCGGTTCGATATTTTTGGTATTCGGTTTCTTAAAATATTTTACCAATACTGTACCTATTAAATTCGGTATGATTTGATTTTTCTCCTTTCGGTTTCGATTTCGGTTTATTCGGTTCAGTAACTTCGGTTTATTCGGTTTGAATACTAACTAGCGCATAGAGTCATAGACGGTAATATTCTAAATTAAAGTACTCGAAAGTACAAAATTAAAAACGTTTGTTGACAAAAGTTTTGTCCAAAACCAGCAAATACCAACCCGGAGAGAGAAAACTGTGCATAAAAGAATAAATTTGATTATTAGAAATGTCTTGTTACTTGCTTAGAGTTAATTAATGAATTTAGAGAATAAATGAAAGTAAAATTTTAGATTTTTTATATTTATGTTATAACTAATAATATGTGTATTGTGTAATATAATATATATTTCGGTACGATATCGGTATTTCGATATTTTATTTTAAAATACCAAATACCATACATAATACCAATTTTTTTTTAAAACTTAAACCAAATACCATACCGATCGAATACCAAAATATCGAATACCAAATACCAAAATTTTCGATTTTGATACGGTAATTCGGTATTTACCAAATTATGCACAACTCTATTTTTGGCTATGTTTTGTTTTGGGCAAAAATAATTTTTTTAGTTAAAAGTATTTTTTCTTCCTGAAGTTAAGGTGCTTGTTTAAGCTTTTAAAATGGAAAAAAAATATTTTTGAGTAAAAGTAAAAATAGTTTTTGAGAAAAAAAAATTATTCTTCTCAATTTTTTTTTTTAGAAGTACTTTTGAAAAAAATATACTTAGAAGCACGTTTTATAAGTTTAGTCAAATACTAATTGTTGTTCAAAAGTATTTTTCAAATTAATTAACCAAATATAAATTACTTCCCACCAAAAAATACTTTTAGATAAAGCACCTTTAATTTTAAAAGTTTGGCACAAACGTGATAAAAGACACTTAAAATTTGGGGGAGTCTTAATACCCTCTTGAATTACTTTGAAATACTATATTATCGCTTTTTGTACCAACGGCATTTGAAGTGGTTTACACGAAATGCTAGCACGTGACAAAGAAAAATGTTGACCTTTTACTTTTTAAAAATTAGAATTTTTACCTATTATAGCAAACTATTACACTATATTTATTATAAATCAAAATAATTTTAAAATATTATTATTTATAGCTATCTTTTTCTATTTTATAGCAAAATATTTATTTATTTATACCTAAAATTGAGGTATGAAATACGCCAACTATATTATTTCTCTCTCTATCAAAATTAGGGATGAGCATAAAATCCGAAAAATCGAATTCCAAACCGAAACAAATTAATTTGGTATTTCGGTTTCGATTTTTTTCGGTATATTCCGGTATAAAAATTTCGATATTTCTATATTTCGGTACGGTATTGAGTTTTTGATATTTCGGTATACCAAAATACCGAAATATTTAAATCCAAGCCCAACAATATTTTTATTTTCCAACCCAATAACTAGCCTAAGCCCAACACCCCAAACCCCCCAATTCCCTAATCCTTAGCGCTCAAGCAAACTTATCACTTACGGGCAGTACCTAGCATGCTTCGAAGTCTTACCCCTTATACACTGTTCAAGTTTCAAATACTTCCCCTCATACATTATGGGTATATTTGTTTGTGAAGGTTAAGTGTCAACTGTCAAGGAAAATATATTCAGGGTTCAAAACAGCCCACTCCCCTTTTATGTTCCATAACATTTGTTTGATTTTAATTTCCAATTTATACAATTTTTCTTTTTTACTCTATTTTTGCTGGTTTGTCTTTTAAGTTATTTGGTCTTGTAATTGCAGAGGATGGAGGAGTCATTTAGGAGTTCGACA